CGTTTACCAGACGAGAGGATTGTATCGTCAGTGTCGATAACGTTGGCGTTAGAACGCCTGCTTTTCTACACCCATGTGCGGTAAGCGATTTTTTGCAGAAGTGTTCTGGAGGTGTTTTCCTCGATGTTCACGGAGAACCCCGGCAGAACCGGTGTCCTAAAGCATTCAACTGACATCGGGAGTACACAGCCTCTACGCTACAACCTTTGACTGATCAGCGTACACATGCGAGCCCTGCTGTACAAGGCGCTCCAAGAGATGATCGACACGGGTGCCGTACATGAGTCGCAGAGCCCTTGGGCCTTCCCGATCGTCCTTGCCCCCAAGAGGGATGGAACGGCTCGGCTTTGCGTCGACTCTCGGCGTCTGAATTCGGTAACTGTTCGTGATGCGTACCCGTACCTATCGATTGAGTCGATCATGCACAATTTGGGAAACGTGAGTTTTTTCGCGACTTTTGTCTGCAGTTTCGGTTTCCTCCAGATAGAGGTCGAACCCTCTGCCATCGAGAAAACAGCATTCATATGCAACAGAGGATTGTACGAGTTTGTTCGCATGCCTTTTGGCTTGAGCAGCTCCCCTGCCACTTTTCAACGCCTCATGGACATCGTGCTTGGAGATGCGCGGCACAACTACGTCATGGCATATATGTATGACGTAGTAGTCTACTCACGCTCGTTTCAGAACATCTTGTGTACCTTCGGACTATTCTCAAGTGCATGCGGATTGCTGGTATTACAGTTCATCCAGGAAAAATGCAACTGAAAACATCTATGATTAGCTTTGCTCAGTTTTGTAATCGAGGATGGAGCGCTTCGCTCTAACAAGGACAAGTCGAGGGTCATAACTGAATTTCCTTCCCCTTATGATGCAAAGAGTTTGCAGCGATTTCTGGGCATGGTTGGATTTTACCGCCACTTTATCTCCCACTATGCAGAGATAACGCGGCCTCTCAACAAACTGCTGCGCGAAGGCGTCAAGTGGTGTTGGACGGAGGCACAGGAAAATGCTTTCCTACAGCTCTCCAGAGCTATTGCTAAAATAGCATCTTTGAAGCTCCCAGACCTCAACCGTCCGTTTGTACTGTAATCCGATGCGAGCGGTTACGGTTTAAGTGCTGTGCTTCTTCAAGACTTTGATGGTGTCTTAAGACCCGTAGCGTTTGTTAGCCATACCTTGACAGCAGCTCAACGGAATTACAACGTTTGCGAGCTTGAGTGCTTAGCCATCCTATTTGCCCTGCAGAAATTCAACATGTATCTTGATGGCGCGCGCTTTGTGATCCAGTCGGATAATGTCGCCTTGTCCTGGCTTCAGCGGCTGAAGAATCCGGCAGGACGATTAGCACGCTGGGCACTATACGCTTCAAAACTATGACTACGCCATTGTGCACAAGCCAGGTTCGCAAAACGAAATCGCAGACGCTGTGTCGCGCGGTCCTCTCGGCAAAGAGCACGTGTACGAGGATGCCAATTTTAGTGGCTGTGATAGATGCTGGCTCGCGCTGAGGTACTTTGATCAGCCGAGATGAGCTTCGTGAAGCAGAGAAGAACGATGGGCTTTGCCACAGGGTCTCTGAGTGGTTGTCTTCACGTGACCGACGTGGCAATAGAGACGCTGACATTGGTTTCGATTCGTCCCTGCTCGCTGAGGATGGTCTCCTACTACGATACATACCTCAGATAGACGACGAGGGGAGTGGCCCCACAGATACTCCATTCCGAGCCATGATAGGACCTCGCCGAATTCGCACATCTTTCATAATATATTACCACGACCTTGCTCTGGCCGGTCACAATAGTGGTTGTAATACTTTTGAGAAGTCTCACCGCACTGTTTCTTGTAAAGGCATTCGTCAGGACGTGTTGAAATATGCTTGGTCATGCCCGATTGTTCAGAAAGTAAAACCGCGTGGAGGTCAACTCCCTGGTCTGATGCAGCCAGTTGTGAGTCGATTCCTATGAGAATACGTTGCCGTGTATGTCATGGGCCTTTTCCTACGCAGCTCTTGTGGCAACCAGTACTTCTTGGTCGTCACGGACCACTTTAGCAAGCGGGTTGAGTTATTTCGATTGCGATCACTGACGTCTCAAAAGATCTAGTCTTGCATGATGCAGACATTTACGAGACTCGGGTTTCGAAACGGATTAATCAGCGACAATGCTACGTATTTTACTAGCAAAGTGTTCACAGGCACCTGCACTGCCCTGGGTATACAACACAAACGGACATTCCCCTACCACCCGCTGGCAAGTATTATCCAACGGGTAAACCAAAATTTGGAGTCGATGTTGATCGCTCACACCAAGCGCCACCAAGATTGGAATGCGAAGCTTCCAGAACTCGCGATCGCAACCCGAACCACGGTTAACCGATCTACCGGTTTCACACCCGCGCGCCTTAATTTTGGCAAGGAGTTGACTTTCCCGCTCGAAAATAGTTACTCTGCCGACGATCCGGGTGCTGCTCGCTTCTATGGCCAGTTTGCAGGGAATCTACGGTGGAAACTCAGGGACACTGTTCGTGATGCCCGAGAGAGCTTGGACGTCACCCGACTGCAACAGGGTGAGCAGTACAACCGAGGTCACCGGGACGTGCAATTCCACGCTGGTTACTTGGTGCATGCGCCGGACCCACCCACTTAGTAACGCCTCACAGATGTTTCACAGCATCCCTGGCTAATAGGTCGGACAGTCCATATAGAGTACGTGATAAAACTTTACGCCTCACGTACACGCTCGTCGACAGTGAGTGTGGTCGACTCACGGGACCTGTTCAAGTCACGGACCTCAAGCAGTGTTACGATTCGGCTGATGAACTTCTCTCGCAGGTGGGGAGTGTTGCTGATCTGCCTGACACTTAGTTTACCGTTTACTCCCTCGAAGACTTGAACGTCGTTAACGAAGACGAAGATTATAGAAAGAAGATTACGATGGGCTTAGCCGAGAACCAGCAGTTTACCGCCTATTTCGATTGATTGCGCGCGATTTTGAGCGGTATACATTTGACTGTTCTCGCGACCTTAGCTCACCTATTGCTGCGTTTGTGTAGATGTTTGCGCTTTTCTAATGGACATTACAACATCAAGTTTTTTAATATTGATTTCCAAGCATGCCGCGACTCAATCAGGCTGTAAGACGGTCCTTACCACCCCCCCCGGCACTGGCGACCCAGTCAACTACTACCAGCCTAGAGGAACGGACAACCCGAACTACCACCCGCGCCGGGTATCAAGACGATCGTACCAGCGCTCTATACGGCCACCTGGGGCACCTTCGACAACCAGGGACACCCAGTGGCCGGGTCGTCTAGCTTTGCTTGGCAGGACCAGCCGCGCCCCTTGACAGTCGACATGGACGTCCAAGTGCCCGAACCTTTCAGAGGTTTCACGATGAACGCCCACCGCGCGGCGAACCCACCAGAAAGCTACACAGAGGACGAGCGCCGACTCCTGTGCCCGCTCTGTGAGGTACCAGAAATCCACCGCCGTACCCACAGAGCTGGGGCACTTCATCGCACACTGGAGTCGGCAGCCGCCGCAAGAGCTGCCATCTTACACCTCAAAAGAATGAGGGAGGACGATCTTGCACACACCATTGCAGTTATCAGGAGGCTCCGCCCTGCTCTCCTCCGCCCTCCATGCCACTCAGACCAGTCACCAGCAGATGCTGCGGAGGCCACCATAAACATTGATGACAACGAACAATTTTGAGAACATTTTCGAGAACAAGCGACAAGCGGGGTGTGCAGTCACGCGCCACGGTGTCCGATAGGAGCGTGCCACTGGCACGGGGCACGAGCTCTCGAACCATCGCGTGCGTGGCGCACGAGAGCCTCGGCGGCGGAGACTCGAAGCCTGGTGGGTAATTAGTAAAGTTGTGCTATGTTATGTCCTGCCTTGCGTGTCTATCTTTCAGGCGAGCAGTGGGACAGATCAGCACAACTGTAAAATGAAATTTGCCCTGTTGCATAAAAAAAGCCGCTAAAAATGACAGGGGCTACCACCTTCTCGTATCAAAACTTTAACTTTTTTTTAGGAAGCGCCGGAAAGAATTATTTTAAACTAGTTAGTGACGGTACAAAAACATAACCTCCTAACTGAATACCAATTTGGTTTCCGTAGAGGTCTCGGCACAAAAATCGGATTTGCTTGCGCAGAAGGAACTAAATCTGACTGCGCTTGATGAAGGAAAATTAGTTATCGGTATTGAGTGATAGGGCGCAGGCGAGCTGGTTTACGGTCATGATTTAAGACAACGACGAGACTGGGGAAAACAAGGACAGGCGCGACGAAATCTTCGATTTCGTCGTGTTTGTCCTTCTTGTTTTTCCCAGTTTCAGGGTTGTCTTAAAGAATAGTTATCGGTATCGTCTTGGATTTAACTAACCTAAAGCATTCGATCATCTAAATCATACACTTCTGGGTCAAAAACTTCAATGCTATGGTTTCCGTGGGTAAACCGCATCCTCCCCAAGGAAACACTTTCCCAGAATCTAAAAGAAAGCACTCGACTACCCTTCTCGTAGGAGGAGACTGCATGATGTTACGTCGAGGTACTCAAGGCTGCTCAGTGGCATTGATTTTTTAGGTGGTCTGGGCTAAATCCGAGCTTCCAGGGCGCTTTTACGGCTTGCAGTCTACGTCATCAAAGTCCCTGCTCTTAGCAGCCCCTGGGTGTGAGCTCTCATAGCATGTGGTGTAAACATGCTACAGAAGGGCTAGAATGACAGATCAATATAGCTCAATAGACAAGCGAAAAGAATACTCAATTTGGCGTCCGGGGCTTGCCTTCCCTTTAACATCATCGTGTGACAATGAGGCCCCAACTTTCTGCTTTCAATTAAAGGTTCTTGACGTCTCGCCTTTTTCTATTATGCTTTGTCTTTCATGGTGGCTCTCATTCATCCATTCATTTTTTCGGCATAAAACGAGTCGAGACCGAGGCATGTATCCACAGCAAAGCAGGAGACTGAATTACACAATTTATTTTACGGCTAACATGGCGCAAGGTTTCCAGATTAACCTCCTTCTCTTGTTGGTAAGCCTAACACTGAGTAAATGTACACTATACGGCGATAGTATGTAATGGAACCAATCAAGCAGCCTAAAAATTGCAAGTCGTTAGGCCTTTTTGTTTATGATCTCTTCAGCGATGTTAGCACGCCTAGAGAAACATGACGAACGCTATGCTTGTGAGATTTTGGTGCTTTCTGATTAATCCCATCAGCTCGTAGCGACAGCCGCGTCTGGATTTAAGGGGAAAGGAAGTATACGTACTGATAAACCTGCTTGTGTGGTTCTTCATAGATAATCTTTTAACTTGCTTCTTTGGTAAGCGATCACGAGGCTTGACCATTTTTATACAGGGAGCGAACAATTTCGAAATAAATAATCTCGTTAAACCGATACGCTTATTGGGTTAACAAAAGGAAAGAAATTCCACCACTGTCACAACAGTTAAAACTTTGACACTTCTACTACGTTTCAGATAGCAGCTAGAGCATGCCATATGCCGTACACAAGCGATGGTCAGCGCAGTCATACTGATAACAGCTTTACGATTTAACAATCTTTAACCCACTTCAACGCCGAGGGCTTTTATAATATGGATGAAATAGTACAAATATAATTTGAATAAAAGGTATTCCAGGCTTTCATTTAAAGTCAATCTTTTTTAAAGATCTTGAACCGAAGAGTCTTTGCTTCCCTGGCGATTTGTCACACTTCTTGGTGTCGGACCCCTGGTGGGGAACAAGTCGTTTACACTCCGAGTAAAAATATTTAGCCGTATTTTGTTTGGGTAAACATTCGACAGTAGTAACGTATCACCCAGTATAACAAAAACTACAACTAACCTTTAAAATTTCTTAATGAATACGGAGGTTATTTTATCACAGATGTATGTTAAGAAATATTAGATCTAATGCCCTAAATATACCGGGCAACGAGAATAAGCCTCCAAGATTTTGCGCAAAGGTGGTTCGCGAAAACATTGACTTCGCACACCCTTTTAATTAAAAAGCATAACTTCATCAACATGGAAAAACGCCCAAAGCCCAGTACTCAATCAAACGCGCCATTACTACGATACAATAAACTTCTGTCTTGAACTGTGAAAGTAATTAACTGACACAATTTCTGAAGAAACAAGAGGGACAAAGGACAAACCCTTTTTCCCACTTCTTCCCCCTCTCCAAATATTATTTTCGTCATTGTTGTCCAGCTCGCTTGCACCTTTGCATTTAATTGCATTATACACACAATTTCCTGTTTTTAGTTTTCAGCGGAAGCGATGTCTCCGTTCTAAGTTCAAATATTCATTTCAGTTTGTTTTCTTTTCAATAGATTCCAATCCAACAAAATAAGTACACACAATTTAGCCACTCACTTCACAAATATCTTATCATTTGTAACAGTCACGCATGTAGTATTGACCCTGCCTCTTTGTTAGAAAGCAATATGAGAAGAGTTTTTTTTTAAATTAGCAATTAGCTTGGCTGAAGGACTACCTCAGCGAATGAAAGCAATGTGTGGAGCTAAAACGTGAAAAATCCGAATGTGTAGGTACCACTTCTGCAGTCCCCCAGGGTCTTGGGTCCTCTGCTCTTCTTGGAATATATTAACGATATAACCAACGAAATTCAATCCAATATAAGACTATTCGCAGATGATCTGCATTGTTTATAGGGTAATTAAGCATGTGAACGATATTGATCTCTTACAGACAGGTATGAACCAAATTTTTGAATGGTGCTTAAGTTGGAGGATAAATCTAAATGCTAAGAAGTGTGTGCACGTGAGATTTACTAGAAAAAGATGTCCCACTTCATCCGTCTATATAGTAAATCATGAAATAATTAAAACCGAATCAAATGTAAAGTACTTAGTGTTACGCTGTCTAGTGATTTAACGTGGAGGGCGCATGTAGATACGATAGCCCTAAAAGCAGTACGTGTGCTTCATTTTAAAAGACGAAATTTCCGACAGGGATCAATCAAAATTAAGTAAACGTTGTATTTTGCTTTTGTTCGCCCATGTAAAGACCACGCGGCAATTATCTGGGACAATAATGTAATAGATAAACTTGAAAAAGTTCAGAAGCATTGTGCTAGATTTGTTTTTAATGATTATCAACTTGGAGCAAGCGTCACCAGCATGAAGGCAACCCTAAATGGGGTATTAATTAGCTAACGGAGAAAATATTTTGTCGTTAAAATTTCTTGATAATATTTATCACAATCGCCTTCTAATCAGTAGGGACACATTTCTGCATGATCCTTTTTGTGATGGCCTGTAGCTGAGCCGGTTGGTTATCCATGCTTACTGATTACCAGCTGAACGTTCCTGACGGAACGTTCAGCTGACGGAACGTTCAGCTCCTGACGGCATATCTTTCTGCAACGGTGGTGTCACACCAGGATCAGCTATTTTTACAAAGAAGCGGTGTGTGCATCGGGTCTCGAGTGGCCCCCTACTTGAGCGATTTATTCCTAGCAGCGTGCGGGAGGAACATTCAACACCAGTTAAAGGATCAACGCATCGAGGCCATATTTCGGTATGTTGACGACTTCCTCATACTAAGCAACTCTGATGCAGATGAGGAGAGTAACGGGTGCTTAGACGTGGTCATGCGCAGCTTCGAACATAGCTGCCACGGATTGGCTTTTACCCATGAACTTCCGGTCAACAATTCCATACGGTTTTTAGACCTCTCATTGGAGTTTCAACCTTCCCACGTGTGCTGGAGTTATGAACCCCGTTCATGTAAGGGGTTCCTTCCGTGTACCTCGGAACATTCCAAAAACGTAAAACGGGGGTTGGCCACCAGAGCTTTAGCCTCGGCGCTACAGAAGTCCTGCCCTCATAAGGTGGGGCGCTGCTTTCAAGGACAGCTGGGTCGACTCCAGGATTCTGGGTACTCGAGTACCCTCCTCGTACCGGTATGTGAAAAGCTTTGTAGGCAAGTACGTCAAAATCCTGAGAAGAGTCAAACAACTCAAAAGAAGCCCCCAACGCCTTTCGCAGTGGTCCCGTATGTTCACGGCATTACTCATCGATTAAAAAAGATCGCCGGCCGACAAGGCGTCCACGTTGTGTGCTCCGCCCCCAACAAGGCCTACGCCATGTGCCGTAGGGTGAACCGGAAAACCGCCCAGAACGGGACGACGACCTGCAGCACTGCGCATCGAACACCCTACGCCCCATGCGAAAAAGGAGTGGTTTACAAGATCCCTATGTCATGTGGCAAAAGCTACATAGGACAGACGGGGAGGTGCATCAACGACCGCACCAGAGAACATGCAGCCTCTGTGACCGCACTAACGTCGGCGGGCCACCTCTCGGCACATTGTCGGGCCTGCAAATGTGCTCCTGATTTCACAAGCGTCACCGTTTTAGCAAAACACCGAAAGCAGCTTGGAAGGGAGCTCCTTGAAGCGTTGGCCATTGAGGAGGGGGAGGGAGAATGCGTCAGTGTTGCCTCCATTGGGCTCTTGCCCAAAGAAAAAATGTATCTGAAGAGAGCGGCACCTCGGATGAACCAAGTTGGGACCCTGTGACTCCAAGATCCGACCGAGAAAAACGAGGGTGACACCACCGGAAATATAAAAGACAAAAAGAAAGACATTTTTCAAGATCCGAAAGTCGAAGAAGACAAAAACTCCACGGATCGTGAGAAAAAAGAAAAAAGAAAAAAAAAAAAGGAAGTTTCTGTCTAAGCTCCGACTGAAGTAGTAGAAGCTACCCTTTTGGGATGGGGAAAGTCGAAGAGGTGGAGAACACCACGGTCCGTGAGAAGAAAAAGGAAGTTTAAGTATAAGCTTTGAAAGAAGAAGAAGAAGCTACCCTTTTAAGGATTGGGTTGAGGAAAAGGAAGTGTATATAAAAAAAGGGTTGATAGTCCAGCAGTGTGTTTCTTTCTCTCTTCGTCGCTTTCCTAACGTTCAGCTTTCCTAACGTTCAGCTGGTAATCAGTAAGCATCCTTTTTGTGCATCGGGAAGAGCAGACAACCAAAAAATATCCGACCCTACTCTTTGTCGTACTGATAATTTTGCCTTTCGTTTTTTACCAAAAACAATCGAAAAACGGAACAAATTGTTGAAGGATTATTTTTCCTTATTTTGAAAATGTAGTTTTATGTGTTTTGTGTTTTTAAAATTTTCGATAATAAATGAGTTTCGGCTGCTTTTAGTTTTTATTTGTGCTAAATAAAAAAAATTGCGTTTTATAGTTTTGACGAGAAACGTTCTGTACACAACGTACTCTGCAATTATTCCAAAACGGCGATGCAGTTTTCCCATGTAAACGATAAGATCAAAAACCCTTATGAACGAATCGCGTTTTTTTTTTTTGCGCTGCCCGCCTTTGTTTTATCCATTCCAACCCATTTTTGCTCAAGAGTGTTTTCTTAGAAGTGCTACTCCAAGGGTTGCTTCTCTGCGGATGCACTCGTAGTTTACAAGTGTTGATTCCTTTCTTTCCAGCGGACGGTGAAACCATTTACAGACTCCTCGGAAACACGCATGTAAAAAAAAAAAGGCTTTACTGTCTAGTATGAACTACTCTACAAGCTTCTGAATAGCAACTTATACAGGCCTATGTTTTACCAAACCCAATTTACAAGGTTCTAGTGATCGAGAATAAATATTTGGAGCTCGATATGTGGCTTTTTGGCTCAAAGTCAAGAAGCTCTGAGCGACAGCCTGCTATAATATTTTGGTGAGACCATGATCGGTATGTGAAACATTAGGGAGTGTTAGGGAACCGTTTTTTGCACATTGGATACGTTAGGATGGGCTCTCCTTTACGAATTTCACATATGCGAGTCTTCAGCAGTAGGGCATGTGCAGTTCGTACTGGAGGGCCGACCGTATCGTATCGAATGTGCAAAAACGGTCCCCTAAAAGTCCCCATTAAGTTCGTAAGCAATACCGTCATCAAAAAATGCGCATTGCGATTCTAATGTGCATTTTTGCGGTTATTCAATTGGATGTGCCTTCCAAGGCAATTTACATGCCCGATGAAGCGCAGAAGCGACAACAAGTCTACTTTATTCGACTTAGATGTCACACATTGCCGGAAATAAGGACTCTGTTCAGTCGCGTTGCTACGTCTGTTCGGAAAAACTGCTTCATTAATACAATAATATAAATTCGCGAACATATCTGCACATAAGAAAAGTTTAGTATTTTATATTTCCAGATATAACTATAATTTCACCGGAGTTGCATCTTCACAAGCGTTGTAAAATATGCCGCAAATAAAAACAGAAAGAAAAGGGAGAAATGCTCTTCTATCCTGAACTTCAGCTTTTACTACTTGCAAGAAAAAAACGAGAAGAATTAGATTCATCTGGGGAGGGTTAGTCGATTAACTTTTGAGTCGATTGAATTTTGTTTCCAAACGAGGGTCTTACTAAGATAGGAATATGCCACTGGTGTTGATGTCTCAGACATGGTGTTCGGGCTGTAAATAAAAAGAACCTTCTCGTGAAGCGTCGGATTGTGATACACAGGTTTTGAATCACGTTGTATCGAGAAGCGAGAGAAGAACTGTTTTTTGAGACACTTGTGCGGTCCCTGCTTATGTTATCCGCAAACTTGACTTCCTTCGTTTTTTGTGGCAGCCGAAAATGTGATACAAAAGCACTTCTTGAACTTTCCAAAACCTAAGTTTGTTTCGCTATTTTTTTTGTGAAGCTTCGGCGGCCCCTTTTGGGGTTAGTGAGGATTCCTTCCAAGTCCTAACCAAAATTACATACATTTTTGCTTTGTTTCTAAGATAGCTTTTCACTAGCTATTTACTACCTCAAATGCACGATAGCAAGTAACTGCACCTGCTTTACAGGGAAGCGAGATCATGACGGATGGGTACCTATAGGAACGTTGTTTTACAAACTGTAGAAAATAATTAATATTTGTACCGTGCCTTCTTAGTAGGAGATACCATCTTTGGAATTTTCAGCAACATTCTTCAAAAACAATTTTGGTGCGAAAGCAGCACCACATTTGTAACATTGTTCTCGGACGAGGTGATCACTAACCAACCAACTTCTTTCAAATGATCAGCCTGAAGGACTCATGGGCAGTCATTAGGGCAGCGATTGGGATAGCGTGTGTGCTGTAAGATACGTACCATACATGACAAGCAGTTACTAGCTTTTACCTAGTAAATACCACTAGATCTAAAAAGTGCATAAACTATCTTCTTTTAGGTTGCGGCTACCTTTTTGATGTTCAAGATGTGATCTACGAATTCCTCGTGACGAACTGCTCTAACAATGAAAGGGTATCAACTTTTGATATTGAAGGAGACAACAAAACCCGAGGTGCCACTGGTAACGCCAAAAAGCTTGCAGAGTACGTTATTCTGTTGTTTTTTTTGCCCTGAATTAAAACACAGCCAAGCTAGAGTCACTAGAAATGACAAGCACGTGCTTACCAAGATTAATGTCTAACCAACAGTCGCTATTTAGCACTACTGGTTTTCCAGTTTCGCGATACGTGACCTTCGGCTGCCCTCGCAATGATTGCCATCTGGTGTCGTTTGTTTATTTGCACACTGTTCAAATCAAAGGGCGGAAGCCACAAATTCCTGGCATCAATTATTATCATGTGCCAGTAGACATGTCTTTCCAGTATAGAGAAGTAGAGTGAAATAGCTCACCGCTGGAAAGGTCGTTTGTTTTCAAACAAAGCAAAGGAAGAATAAAGACGTGGAAACACCGATCAAATATTATAACTGCCCACTGCTCTTAAAAGCAGGTTCGCCGTTTTTTTTCGGCTTTTCATCAAGTAACCGGTTTAGTTTTAAGAAATGGTATAAAAGTTTTAATAAAAATCAGAACTGATTTTTAAGAAACGCTACACCAATCATAAACTACTTACGAGCTAGTTATTAGTGTTTACTTCTAACTAAATCCTACCCCTAAAATGAGGCCCTATCGTTTGGTCACCTCATAGCGTGTCACTCTATTTCTCTATGTTTTTATATGTATTTATTTTAATTTTAAGTATACTTACTGCGTTAGTAGATTTGAGTTTTTGATTGTTTCTACTTCATATTTTTACTGTTTCTACTCTGCATTTGTATTTAATTTGGTGTCTTTAATGTTGCGCGGTGTCGTGTCTCTTTTACTCTCACTCTCTTTTTTTTCCCCCGAGGCGGTGCATTTAACTGAAGTCTGTTTGGCCGTTTTAGGATACTCGAAAAAGAAGTTTATATTATATTATCCTTTAATGCGTGAACTACGGAAGTCTGTAAGCACACTTTGACGGTGCTTGCAACGTGGTCAAACTCCCAGGAAGCCCTGGACATGAAATCGATGTCTATTAAGTCAAAACGCAAATCGGCGGTCTGTAATCTGTTCAACATATCATGACCGCAATCGCCATTGCTGTTTAAAGGGATACTGAAGCGATATTTTGGGTTGAAGCTTTTAGTTGTATTGACATTCATGGCACTCCAAGGTGTAAGTTACGTTGTCTTGACCGAGATCTTGTCCAAAACTTAATAAATAAAAATATAAAGATCGTACGCAACCGCTGGTACGCGCATTTGGAAGCTCGCTTGGTGTCGTCACGATACTTGCCCGGCTAGGCAGGTCGCTTGGGCAGGCGCTCTGGCCGGTCTAGGCTAGCTGGCTTAAGCTGCCGGCTTTTACAGAGGCCATAGCCGTTAGTCACCCATCCATGCGGTATTCGCCGACCTCGGCCCGTTCCGTGCTCGTCAAGCGCAAAGCCGTTATAGAGAGAGTTTGGCCATTTCTTGGGAAGTATAGGAGGCAAATGACGAGGCGCCATTGGCCGAAAGCGGGCCGAGGTGTTCCAGGGCATCTTCACGAATTTGAACGTGGTCAGCCAGAAGCCTCGAATAATACTCTGGTGGTTTTAGCGAGAAACGAAATTAAAAATGCATCGGAGTCAATCTCGGTGACTGAAAATAAGGTGCACGTGATGTTTCGATCACGGTCGCGCAAAATTATGGTGGGAGATATATAAATATATAGATGACATAAAAAACGTGCGCGAATAGCAGAACGATCGACGTAATCCGTACGGCAGGCGACGACGGCCGAGAATCTACCGTCCGAGCGGCCAGACTCCGCTTTGACCAAAGAGAGTACAAGCGGCACATTAGTTTTTTACGTATTTTTGCATGACCAGAACCAAAAGTTCATGTGCACCATACTTTCAACCATTAAGAGTTACTACATTTAACTCTTACGGACTTATTAAAACTGTTTCTCCCTATTTTCAGCTTCTGGTTGGCCAAGACAGCGTGTCAAGCACTTTTCTGTGTCTTGTACACACCCTAGCTCTGCCATCTTTTCCCATTGACCAAAATCTCTCTATACACGGCTCGGGTCAAGCTAGCTCCTATCCGTTCCTGCCTCGAGCTCGGGCCTCGCTTGTGCTATGGATACGTGCGGAAACAGCAGCAGCAGTAACGGCAGCGAAGTGCCGTCTGATGAGAAGCGCAACCATGTACCAGGGAAGAGGCCTATCCTAAAGTGCTGCCGTACACCTCGTACGCCTGCGCGCTGTTAGCATTGCCGTTGTCGTCGAGGCGCACGCTCAAAACGATGCTCGAGGACAACTTTCTTCGGCATTTCTGAAGAAGCGATTGCTTTGATCGGTGCGTACGGTCCGCGAGCGCACGGGTACACTTAACTTTGAATTTACTGCGTGCAAGGAATGCGCTCGGAAGCACGTTCAACGCCCATTCCTCGCAATCAGAGTCATACCCTATTCACACGGTCAACATAAAGGTACCTTTAACATAGGTCCCTTCGCTATCGGCGAATCAGCCCGTGCTCTTGGGTCGCGAGCACACGCCGCGCGCGGAAGATCGTGAATTGATTGTCCGCAGAGAATAAAGGTCCTTTAGGTAAAGGTACCTTTACAGTCGTGTGAATGGGGTATTATTGTTCTTGAAAGACACTAAATGGGAGCTAGTTCTGAGCATGCGCTGGTCACCAACGTAATAATTATTTTGTTGTGTATGTTCTTAGAGCCGGAACTTAGTCATCCCCAATGGGCGTCTGGTAAAGTTCAAGCTTTGGAGAGTTGGTACGACATACTTGAGAGTTAAATCATCGCAAAGATGAAGAAAGGCTCGGACACAGCGATGTGTCTGTGTCTTTCTTCAGGTGGTCCCACGATCATTGCGCTGTTTTAATTCTCGAGGGACTCTGGTGTCGCAGCTGTATATGAACAATCTAGCCAGTGCATGCAGTGCAACCGCTAGCCTGCGGTCTTTAACGTGCATCACGCTGTAGAGATACACTACCGCGCACCCGTACGATGCTCATCGAGATCGAAACGGGCAGTGGTGGGAATTGAACCCAGGATAACTAGGTTCTACAGAGCAAGCTCTGGCTCTATGTGCAACGAACTGATGTGAGCCAGCCCACTCGGCCACCGATCCCCCAACCAACGCTACCCGATGAAAGTCAGTTTACGAGCTTCCTGGAACGCCTGGCGCTTTATCGTGTCGTGTGCGCTCGGTGGCTATCGCTACACTATCAGCCCGCCCATTGGGCAAAAGCGGGGGAACCGGTGGAATAATGGATGAACATTGCCTGCAGTAGAATAAGTTTCTATTAGGTTTTTCATTTTTATTTTTATGGTAAATATAAAGTTTGCGCAAAAATCGACGCAAAAACAGCGTCGTTCAAAAACTTTTTTTGTTGTTGTTGCCGGGGACGCGTTGATGCTTATAGCGCTAGTAACGTTATCCGTTCGTACCTGATTGCGTGCAACAGAGAAGAACCAACTTCGAACGCTGCTCTTCCGTAGAGCTTGTCAACTCGCAGATCTAGTAACGTTGATTAAAAGAAGGTCCAACAATATGGCGTCCCTTGAATACCCTCTATGCAAGAGAATAAAAATCAAAAGAAAGATAGACAGAGAGAGAGAGAGAATGAGAGAAATGGAAAGAGAGAGAAAGAAAGATAGAGAAAGAACGATAGAGAACAAGTAAGAAATTGAATCCATCAGCTCCGCAACGGTTACAGAAGCCTCGCTCGCACCGTCTGCTTCCGGAATGACGGCTCGGCCGATCGGCGTGATCAGAGAACTTCGTTCAAATAAATACAATACTCCGATCGTCATCCATCTGTATGAATCATATATTTGCAAACTGTAGGAAGGCTGGAAGCTCGCTCGGGAATTATTTTTCAAACTTCTCATATCGGTTCAATCTCCCTTAAGGCACCATGCGGCCTCCGTGGCAATAAGGGCCGATGCAAACAAAACGCGCGCTGCACTTTTTAGAGGTACAGTCTTTTTTTGAAGCACCAGCAGCGTGACGCTGCAGAGTTTAGCCAGGTCTTCAGACTTATTAGTAATTACTTATTTGGGTTCTAATCTTACACTTGGCAAAAGTCGACGAGGAATTGAACCGCCATGATTGGCCGGCAGCACGGTCAAATTAAGAATTAAAACATTGAGACAAGGAAACAAAAAGGGGACATACACACCACCGTCTCAAAACCAGCACAGCATACAGCTGTCATTTACTTCCACAGCAGTCTTCTTCTTTGTCATCCTCCATCTAAATTATACATGTTAAACAGCAGGGAGACTCACCGCCGAATTCAGAAACCTCACTCAAACCACACTCAAACTGAAGGGCCCCTCCACTTCCTCGAGCAAGGCGCGAGGGCCGGCGCTGGCCAGTCGCGACGGTGGATCCGTCCTCGCGATTGGCCAGCGCCGGCCCTCGCGCCTTCCTCGAGGAAGTGGAGGGGCCCTTCAGTTTGAGTGTGGTTTGAGTGAGGTTTCTGAATTCGGCGGTCACTACATTAAGGGAGCCTCGAGCACACCCAAATGAGTCTTCTTCCTTATCGTCTTTTTCTTTCTTATTGTATTTTTTTTTTTAAATTCTTAATTTTGATTGTTCACCAGCTCGCCTGCGTTTTGACTATTATTTCAGTACCATGGTCAAGCACAGCACCAGCCAATCGCGGCCGCCGAATTCCTGGCCGACTTGTTCGCAGAGTGTCAGATTAGAGCCGCCTGGTCTGGAAACTTCGACGGTTCCCCACCCTATGCTCCGTTCTCAATTAAAGGAAAACTTAATCGGTTCTGTATTTGACGAAAAAAAAACCCAAATCATCTCCATTTGGCCTACATGATCACGAATATCGAGATTATTCTTCGGTTTGGCGCACGGAGGAGGCAGAAATAAACTTTCAAAACATCGCCGAAGCCCCTCCCTTCCGGAACGTGACGTCATATAAGGAGTTTCCGGAATCTCCGCTCTCTCGCGCATCTTCAGCGCCTATCAAAGCTATGCACGCGCACTCTCGCTATTTTCGAAAAGGTCAGAAGAAGGCGTCACGACTGGTGTCAGTGCGGGGGAATGTACCTGGCAAGGTCGCGATTGCACGCCCTGCCCACACGAGCGACACGCACTTGGCGGTCCAAAGATCCTAGTATGACGTCACGACTGGTCGGAGGTTTTTCGTGTTTTCCCGCGTTTAGTTACATCTTCGGAGAAAACGAACGTGATATTTAAATTCAAGGGATAAAAGAACGTCAAAATACACTTCAAACTAGTTTTCTCTATTTCTTTTTTCAAGGATTGTTTTATCTTTCCTTTAAGTTTGATTGCAGACGCAACTAGAATCCGATGGATTCAATGAAGCGGCGCCAAAACTGCCTCATAATTTTGGGCGTTAGCTATGACTGGCGAAATGAATCGAGTACTCTGAATCCGCCGTTATTATGCGCTTGTTTTCTGTGTGTGAATGGATTAGCAGATCATAAAAAAACCCAGAAAAACAACGAGCGCCAGGACGACACACTGTTGGCGCTGATTAGGTGTCTCCACCGGATCGTAACTTCGGCTGAGGGCGAACTTAAAGGAAAACGTATGGTAGTAAGTTTATTCACCCCATGAGGCGCTGAGGAAGTACGAGCAACGAAAAGGGAAAAGAAATTACGTGCCATCATTTATTAAACTTCTTTTTACAATTTTGTAAGCGGATAAAGCACATTCACGAGGCGTTTGAATTCCTTCGAATAACTATGACCCCTAGGTCTGAAGCATTTCTAGGTTTTCAGGTTTTTGATTTTTTTACTTATTAGCATTATAACCCCATTTCGTTTTATCTTTGTTGTGTGCTCATCTTTCTTTTCTCTGTGCTTCACTTGTGTCTGATTCGTGCTGTCTTTCTACCTTCAGAATATTGTGTTTATCGTATTTTTGTCCAGTATCCCTGCACAATAACCGCAATGTGTTTGCTGAGTACTATGAAACATATTGATTCATTAACACTAATTACATAATTTTCTGATAATTATGATTTTTGCCTGGTACTCAGAGTATTGCCTCGTTAGCGGTATTATAATAAGGGGCAAACGTTTTTGCTCATTTTTGCGATTGCATTGATTGCGCAGCGACGACCAACATTTTCTCGAATTACGGCAAACCATGACTATGCTATCAAATGTATCCCATTGCAATGTGATCTTAATGCAGACACCCCCCTGTGGCGTTCGACGTCGGCCCGGTGACGTACAGCACTGCTAAAGTACAGTCGCTAGAGTTGTCTGCAGTGTATGTCCAGACTTTTCACAACAACCAGTCTGGCGTGGTGGGCCGGGCTCAAATATCAGAGGAAATAGACCACGAAGACGAGTACATATGGACCGTCATCAATGGAGCAGATTCATCTGTCAAGGTCAAGTTCAGCCTCTCGCTTCCCCTAGTATACAGTTTCAGCTCAGAACTTTCAACAACATTGAAGACAAGTTCTGGATCCACCACGGTCGAAACACGCACTACGCGACAATGGATTAAACAAGATGTAGCAATACCCCCTGGAGCCACCATTGAAGCCAAGTGGTACGTCAACACGGCGCAAGTGGTGAGTAAAATTTAATATTTTTATTAAACCACACGTTCAATTATAACAGAACGGAGACACTCTTTGTATAACTGCATCGTTTATTGAATCACCTTTCAAGTTATGTTGAAAAATCAACAAAACGGTATTTTTCTCCCAGAAAACGCAGAATAGAAATATTTAAATAATTACTTTCGTTTACAAATTGTTCACTTCTTGTATTGTAAGATACAGGCCGCCAAATGGCCGAAAAAAAAAAACGCGCTTCTGTGAAAAACTAGCATAATTGAGCGTTGTAGAAAGTCAGTCATCCGCGTTGAGTCCCTATATAAAAATATTCTTGTGTTCACATTGGAAAAGAAGACGAGGGCCAACTGGCGCTGATGTACTATTCACGGGCTCCCGCTTTCAGAGATCTCAATCACCGGCAAAAAGTATAATCCAACAACAATTCTGGTCTCAATCAACGCAGTTCGTCGCAAGGAACAAGTGCACACCATCATCCAGCGCGTGAGTGAATTTCCCTCGGAAATATCGCTTCTCGAAGTTCCCAAGCGACGGCCGCCACGCTAAGCCTACTAACCAGGTACGCAGCATTTTACCCGGTGCTCGTGCGCTAGGCACGTGCCTTCGCCCCACGCCGCCTCCGGCTCACAACCCAAGCATGGCAACGGCCATGGAGGCAAGCGATGCTACCGGCATCCCCCTCCAAGAACAACAACCCGAACGAGACGACTGGGTAGAAATACGCAGGCGAAGATCCAAAAAGGTCAAGCCACAAAATACCGAGGCCACAATCTCAGTCTCTCAACCGACGCCGCAGAGGGCCCTAACTAGACAACCAAGACTACCTCCGCTCCCTCGAGACGATTTCAAAATTATTATTCGCCCGCGAGGAGCCTTAAATCTTGCCAACCTCGAGACTATCCACCTCTCTCGCGCCATCGCGGAGAAAACTCGGCAACATACCCGCGACCGACCAAACTCGACAACATTCCAAGTCCGCATGGACAGAATACAAAATATCGCCATCGCAAGCACCCCAAGTGAAGACCTGGCCCGACACATCAGAGACATTCCAACCCTGCGTTTTGGTGACAACGAATATGAAGTTACCGCTTATATTGCCGCCCCCGACGACTCGGCTCGCGGCGTGGTGCGTGGCATCCCGCCCGAGACCACTGGCCAAGAACTAATCGACAATCTCTACTCGCCGGGCTATGAAGTTCTTTCAGCCCGAATGATCGGAAAAACATCGACAGCTCTTATTACTTTCACCGGCAAGCAATTACCGAAATATGTCATCTTCGAGCACGCAGCACTTCCATGCAGTTGGTATCTACCTACCCGTCACGCCTGCTACATATGCCACGAGATCGGTCATCGCGCTGATGTGTGCCCAAACCCGGACACTGTTAAGTGCGTGATGTGTGGTGTTTCCAACCCAACGAAAGGCCACGAGTGTACGCCCCGATGTGCTCTATGCACAGGCGCCCACCCTACGGGCTCCAAGGAGTGCCCTAAAAAGCTGGCTCACCGCCCACCAACATCTGTCTCGAACCATCACCGAAGACGAAAGGACACTCGCGTCAACTCCCGGTCACGCTCCCGCTCCAGAGGGCCACAAAGGACGGGACCGAGGCAACGGTCTTCCTCAAGACCAAGGTCCAATTCCAGGACACGATCAAGCAACCCAAAATGCGACAAGGCACCAGCAGCACTCTGTCAACCAACAGACAACAACAGGGTGAGCTGGGCAGCGCGGCTATTCCCACAAAACAACCAAAAGAGGCAGACCACTTCCTCTTCGTCCTGCGCGCCGGATGTTAGTCAGCAGCTAACCGAAATTTTAAACCAGTTAAAGGAACTAAGGGCTGAGAATCAACAACTTAAAGAGGAGAGTCGGCAACTTAGAGAGGAGAATAGGCAACTCCGAACACTCCTTACACCCTCAAGATCCTCGCCACCCCCAGACCCCTCCCAGGTCATACCCGCAATCAAATCACATCCGGGGGAAAAAACAACCTCACCAGTGTCAGCTTCCGATGAAGTGGCTGTAATCCCCGAACCCACAGGCCCCATGCCCTCGCAAATAGGAACAGGACTAGGAGAAACACTCGTACAATCACAACAACAAATGCAACAGCAAATCATTCAGATCCAGCAGCAAATGCAGCTGTCCCAAGAGCAGTCCCAACAACAGCTGCAAGAGATGAAACAGGCGCTCCAGCACCTTCATACGCTCATTAACACTGAAGATACTGACCACGCAAACCGCAAAAAAGCAAAACTAATACCCAACCTAGAATCCCCCTCCCTTCCTACTCATACACCCGGTCATGATGAATAATCAGGCTCAACAAACTTCCCACAACCTAACCATTTGGCAATGGAATTGTCGTATGTACAAACAAAAACATGCCTCTCTTCGTCAATACATATGCGATGCCGAAACCCCCCCTGATGTCATAGCAATTCAAGAAACCGGATCGGTCCCATCGCAATCCGGCTACAACTGTCATACAACGTCCGCCGATAGTAGAGTCGCCACACTCACTGCCAAATCACTCACCACTGTTCTGCACCAAATTGATGGCAGTAACATCGACCATAACCTTATCGAGATCCTGCCTGCAAAAAGGGGTCAGATGAGTATTTTCGTGCTCAATGTCTACAGTCCACCAAGTCGACGAAAGGAGAATTTTGCCTACCTGCTCGCCGCGACTTTCAAACTAGCCAATCAGAACGGCGTCGTCATCCTGGGCGACTTTAACGCGGCGCACCCAGCTTGGGGATACGGCAAGGCGACCGTGAAAGGCAATAAATTGTGGGAGCTCATCCATCAACAGGGCCTCACAGTACACACAGACCCTGCCTGCCCTACCAGGATTGGCAACAGTGTGTCGCGGGACACGTGCCCCGACTTGACAATGACCAAGAGGCTCGCAGACGCTGAATGGTGCAACACCGAGGAAACGCTCGGAAGTGACCACTGCATTCTCATCACTACGGTCCCCCTCATTCGCAAGAACTCCTACATCAAAAAGACACGACTCGTTAATTGGGACGAGTTTCGTAAGCAGAGAGAAACCACTTCCACTTCAGAGATCATTTCCTTCGACGAATGGGTGAGCGCTCTACAACACGACGTCTCCGCTTATGCCAAAGATATCATGTTAACCGACGAACGACAAGCCGTTGACCCCCACTTACTCCATCTGTGGGAAGCTCGACGAAGCTTGATCAAGCGATGGCGTCGGCAGAAGCACAACAGGACCCTCAAAATTCGGATAGCAAGGCTCACAGAGGAGGCCGCTGATTACGCTGTGGACCTCATGCAACAGAACTGGCAACAGTTCTGCAACAGCCTACAGGGCACCCTGGGCACCGCCAAAACCTGGTCCCTGATGCGCCACCTGCTTGACCCCACCAAGAGCAAGTCAGCCACCCGGCATATTATCACAAAACTCCTACATCAATATCCAGGGACAAGCAAGGACATTCTCGACGCTCTGCGGGACAAGTACATAGGGCAACAACATCCGCCCTCTCAGCCCATGCAATACCGTGGTGCCCCCAACGCGGACCTTGATAATCCCATCACTTTGGCCGAAGTGAATCAAGCCATCCAGGCTCTTACCCGCAATACCACCCCCGGTGCGGACAAGATTACAAACCGTATCATTCGAAACCTAGACGACCCTTCCATCCAAGCCCTCACCAATTTCTTTAATCAGCATTGGGAGGAAGGCACATTACCGGCAGCGTGGAAACATGCCGATATCATCCTGATCCCCAAGACCGGCAAACCACCCAAATTGGAGAACCTGAGTCCCATCTCTCTCACTTCATGTATTGGGAAGCTATTCGAGCACGTGATACTCAACCGGCTCCAGCCATACGTCGAGAACAACAACCTTCTACCACCGACAATCTTCGGCTTTCGTCCGCACCTCAGTACGCAAGACATCCTCCTCCAACTACACGAGGATATCAATCGACAAGTCTCCGCTCACAGCACTAGAGCCATCCTGACGCTGGATCTGAAGGGGGCATTTGACAATGTGAGTCACGACATCATACTTACCAATCTCAGTGATCTAAACTGTGGTCGACGAACCTTTGCTTACATTCAAGCATTTTTACAAAACCGCACCGCCACGATCGGCATTGGCGACCTTCGGACCCAACCTCTCCCCCCTCCCAACAGGGGAACGCCACAAGGAGCGGTTCTGTCGCCTATGTTGTTTAACGTGGCGATGATGAAGCTCCCTGCCCAACTCGCAGAAATAGAGGGTGTCTATCACGCCCTCTACGCCGATGATATTACTATCTGGGCCACCTCCGGCTCTGACGGGGAGATCCAAGATGCCTTACAGCGCGCGACCGACGTGGTTCAACGGTATGCACGTGGTGGGGGTCTTCAATGTGCGCCTGAAAAATCGCAGCTGCTCATTGTAAAGAAGAAATGCCGGAACATTCCTTATGATCCGCCACAGCTTACTCTCACACTCGAGAATCAAGTCATTCCGCAAGTGACATGCATTAGGATTCTCGGCCTCTTTCTCCAACAAGACGGCGGAGGACCACACGCGCTTCAACGTCTTACGCATACCACGAATCAAATCCTTCGTATGATGGGACGAATTGCCAACAGACGACACGGCCTGAAAGAGGAAGACGCTACCCGTCTCATCCAGGCACTCATCATTAGCCGTGTAACCTACTCTGTCCCCTATTTGACCCTCAAACCTCGGGAACGAGAAAAACTCGAAGTACTGATTCGCCGGTCTTATAAACAAGCCCTCGGTCTTCCACCCGGAACCTCGACACCACGTCTCTTGTCTCTCGGCATTCACAATACCGTCGAAGAGCACATTGAAGCACACCTCACAGGTCAACGCGAACGTCTCAAGCTAACACCTGCAGGCAGGCAGGTTCTAACTCGTCTGGGCTATCCAATTCAAACCCTGGGCCACAGTGAAACAACTCCCCTCACTGCTGCTTATCGCACCAAAATT